CTGTTGAATAGAATATTAATAAGTTTTAATGTGTATTTTTTGTTAACTTGGAAATATGGCAATGTTCACAGAGCCAGTGTGTCGGTTGCAAAAGAGAGGAAAAAAAATCAGTTTTTAACAGTAAAGTATTGAATTAATTGTTTTTTACTCTGCTGAACTGTATGATTAAATCACATTTTGCTCTGTATCCAACAAGGTGGCATTACACATAGCTGCGTAAACCTTTCAGAATTTGGTGCGAACAGGTGATTATGAGCTGAAAGAGGGCTGGACGTTCAGCTTTGGAAGCAAATACTAACAAGCAAATGATTTCATACTGGAAGCCATCTGGAAAACTGGACTATGTGCCACGTCAGCTGAGGGTAAATGCAAAGAGAAGTGGCAGTCATCTGTGAGCAAGTCTCTTCCAATGGCTTTAGAAACGTCTCCAGCAAGATGCCAGGCGTTTCTCACTGTTTGAGAAAGTTACTGAACTGGAGCATAAAGATATTAATGCTACGTAGGACACAGGACGTGGAGAACTGCATGGACACCGTGGTGATTGGCCGGACTCAGACAGTGACAGCTGCACAGCCAACTGAAACTATACCTGTAGAGGTTGAGAGACAATCCATGAGTTCCACCCCTGCTCCTGTGGTTCACAGTGTGCTCTGATCCTCCAGTCATTGGTTCACTGTCGGCCATTGACAACTTGGGTCCTGCGGGGAACTCCAGTCAAACACACTGGCTTCAGCATGGGGCAAGACTTGAGCAGAAGACCCAAAGCAGGAGTAAAAGCTCTGCTGCTCGAGTGCTAAACACGACCGGAAGAGAGGCTCACATCACATCTGTTTTAAAATCATTGCATTGGCTCCTAGTATGTCTCAGGATTGATTTTAAGATTATTTTACTGTTTTTTTAAAACGGCTTAATGGTCTTGGACCATCTTATCTTGCTGAGCTGCTATTACCTTATGAAGCCCTGCAGACCCTCTGACACCGGACTATTAACAGTTCTCAGAGTCAGAACACACAGTTAGGGTGAGGCTTCTTTCCTGTATTGTGGAACGGTCTGCCAGAGAACCTGAGGGCTCCAGAAAACGTTGCAGTCTTTAAGAGCAGGCTCAATCTTTTGAATTGTATTTCCTGAATTGAATCATTTCTGCTTAGTCTGTGCATTTTCAATGCAGTTGTGTGTTTTTTTCCATGTGAGGTTGGGTGGGTAATTGTTTGCTTTTTTTATTGATCTGTACAGCACTTTGAGCTGCTTTTAGTATGAAAGGTGCTTTATAAATAAAATTGATTGATTGGAATTATAACAAAACACATTTAAACAGTCAAATATCTCCAGCAATGACTTTGGAAAGCAAAAATACCTATAATGTTCATTTAAAGTCTATTTTTGGTTGTAGTTGTACTTTTTAGGAGCACAAATACCTAAACGGTGACCAGTCCCGCCATTTTGGATGGCAAAGTTAGAACACATAGGGGCAAATTGTCCCAATTCTCAAATTATGCACACTTGTAATCTACACACTCGAACCCTTATGTGCTCTTCGACTGAGTTCACACTGCATAGCGGGGTGTAAGGTGAAGCCTGAGTATTGGGACCGGGCCACGGAGACCTGGAGATGTTTTGACCTGCCGCACCATCTCCCTCAATGTGTGGTGTTGAGATAAACTCATCCAGCCTCATCTCTCACATTTCTAGTTACTAATTTAAATGCACAGTCGGAGCAATAATTAATAGGTTTACATTTCAGGCAAGTCTTTCCAGTATTTTCTTGGATCCNCCGTCAGCGGCGATAGTTGCTGCAGCTCCAGCTGCTGCTAAAGAGAAACTGTTTTTAGCTGCTAGCTCGGATGCTACAGAAGTTGATCGGTTTGTAGCTCAAGACGTGTTTACGAGTCTCTGAAACCCAGATGGAGATCATTCAAGCCCGTTGACTAAATATATTATTCCAATTATTATCAGTGCTCGCAATCATGGAATACAAATTGTAAATTCTTCATTTGAAAGAAAAAAATTCCTAAAATGTACATTTAAAATATTTTTTTGTTGTAGTTATATTTTTAGGAGCACCAATTGTAACAGACCCCTCTTTAAATGAAGGAATTGGCTTTACTGATGAACAGGTTTACTGGGAGTAAACCTTGAGTTTCACCGTAAGAGCTGTGTGTACAAACAAGACAGTGTGAGCTACAAACATCTCTTACAACCGCAACGTTTGAAATAAAAAAATAACGTTCACCACTAAAATATCAACTTGACTCAAAAAACTAAGCCAGTATTCTTATACAATACAGAAAATTTACAATTCCGATTGTTCGTAACTTGTCTTCCGTTCTGCTAAGCCGCCGTTCTACCATATAAACAAAGGAAGCTGTCTTATCAAAATAAAAACATTAAATCAAAAGCCGGAAGTCCGTCATATGTCGTACAAAATAAAATTACGTAAATGCAATAACTGCCAAAAGGGGAATACAAAGAAATACAACAAATAAGTTGGGGTTATTTACACAAATTCCTAAACAGTGACCAGTCCTGCCATTTTGGATGGCGAAGGTAGAACACACAGGGATGAACTGTCCCAATTCTAATTTTGCAAGCCTGGAATCTACACACTCAAACTGTTATGTGCTCTTCGACTCAGTTCACACTTCATAGAGGGGTGTAAGGTGCAGCCTGAGTATTGGGACCGGGTCAGGGAGACCTGGAGATGTTTTGACCCGCACCACCATCCTCCTCAGTGTGTGGTGTTGAGATAACCTCATCTCTCACACTTCCAGTTGTTTGCCTATATGCACAATTTGAGCAATAATGAATAGATTTTCATTTTAGGCCAGTCTTTTCAATATTTTCTTGGATCCACTTCCTTTTGAACATCAAGACATTTGCCTTATTTAAGAAAATGCTCTCTCCTCTTTCTTCTTTTGAAGGGTGGCTTAGAAAAATGAGTCTCTGCTCCTTGTCACATTTGTTACTCAGAGCACCAGAATGCCATGTTTTACTAATGGAAGTGCCTACTCAGTCTGATCAACTTTTAAAAATGCAGTTAGTAGCTGGCTTTTAAGTGAGATTAAAAACATATTGTCTTAATGCAACTGAGTTCTTTTGAGAAAATGCTTAATTAAAAAAAAAAAATCTGAAACTCTACTTCTGGATGTAAAGTAGTTTAGGCAGAAGGGTCAGAAGGTGAACAGAAAATCAGTACCAGCCACCTGGTTTCAGTTTCTTCAAATGACTTTTTATTCACTCTTTCTCTGACTTCTCTCTCAAGCATCCAAAAGCTCACTGTTTTTATATCCAATTGGCACCACACCTGTGCTTGATTGGAGACAGCCACAAAAGAACAGGTCAAACAAACAAAATCTAAACAGAGAAACACTAAAATTACAAATTAATTTACAAACTCCTACATAATGAAGTTGTCTGCAAAATAAATTATATAATACAAGATAACTCAAAAGGTTACTTTAAAGAAAAACAAACAAAGCAATACACAAAAGAAAAACCTTCTAATTGGTAGAACCCAGCAAGGTAATCACTGACATCATCCAGCCATTTAAGCAGGAAGTACTGGGCCTGCCCCTCCCATACTCCTGCCCTGCTGCAGATCTACAAGCAGAAATGATGGTGAGTACAAAGGAAAACAAATACCTTAATAAATATACCTTGAAACGAATTCAACCTATAGTCCAGAAATAATAACTTTAACCTAAATCTACATAGACACTGGAACATAATGCTAACACAAACAAACCCGGGATAGTAAGTGAAGCAAAATTGCAATGTTTAAATTAATCATTATAACCAAATATAGAAAGTAAGTGAATGAGAAGGACTAAGAGACAAGCGGTGAACACAAACTGAACCACTTTGTCACACTGAATTAAAACCATATCTATTTTTACATTTTTGTCACAGCTGCAAATTAGTGCGGAGAACACTTCACCTGCTTTTTAGTTAAAAATCTACAAACTAATTTTAGATTAACTGCATAATGCCTACAGATCATAATTTTCAGGAAAAACCAGGCTGATCCATGAGATAGTCATCAATTAGATTATATTAATGATGTCATCCCTGGTTCCCACAGACCTCCAACAGCCAAGTGTCTCCAATGAGGAAGAAGCTTCTTCCATCCAACAAGTCTGTAACCTGGCAAATGGGTCCAGTGATAACCAGGATGTACCAGAACCTCAGTGGACTGAAGAAGAACAGATGGATCCAGAACCAAAGTGGATTAAAAGAGAAGAGGAGGAACCAGAACCTACACTGTTTAAACATGAGGAAATAGAATATCCACTAACTTATGTAAGAAAAGAGGAACTAGATTCTTCAGTGCTTCAACATGAACAGCAGCCACCAGAACATTTACCAACTGGACAGGACCAGAAGGACCTCTGCAGCAGTCAGGAGGGAGAGCAGCTTGTCCAGAAGCAGTTTGTTGCTTTGATTGAGACTTCTACTCTTCAGGGAGATGATATGAGTGAAGAAGAGACAAGAACAGAGCAGCTTTCCCTTCGTGTCTCTCCAGTGGTTGAGAGCAAAGATCAGGAAGGAAGCAGCTGCTCTGTGTCAGAGAGTCAGTCTGATACTGGCACAAAGAAAAGACCTTTCAAATGTGACATTTGTGGGAGATGTTATACACAACGGTATAACTTGAAAAAACATTACAGAACCCACACTGGTGAGAAACCGTTTTCATGCCAGTTGTGCAGAAAAAGTTTCTCACAAAATAGTAGTTTAAAAGTGCACAAGAGAATTCATACAGGTGAGAAGCCTTTTTCATGTCAGTCATGCGGAAAGAGTTTCTCTCAAATTGGTTCTTTAAATGCCCACGTGAGAATTCACACAGGAGAGAAACCTTTTTCATGTCAGTCCTGCGGAAAGAGGTTCCCTCAACGTAGTCACTTAAATGTCCACAAGAGAATTCACACAGGTGAGAAACCTTTTTCATGTCAGTCATGCGGAAAGAGTTTCTCTCAAATTGGTTCTTTAAATGCCCACGTGAGAATTCATACAGGTGAGAAGCCTTTTTCATGTCAGTCATGCGGAAAGAGTTTCTCTCAAATTGGTTCTTTAAATATCCACAAAAGAATCCATACAGGTGAGAAGCCTTTTTAATCCAAGTCATGTGGAATAAAGTTTCTCTCGGATTGAGGAGCTAAAATGTAGTGAGAATTCATAAAGGTGAGAGGCTATTTTGAAGCCAAACATGTCGAAAAGCTTTCTCTTAAATTGATGTGCAAGAACCAAGAGTTCTCAGAAAAACCACATGAGTGCGATGGGTTTTTCCACATGAACTATGGGGGGAGTGTATGAAATATGCTATAGAATATTAAGATTTCAACTGATGTGCAAGTTCAGATATTGAGGTGTTATTCTACTTGACATGCTACTGGCGGACATTTGCAAAGCAGTCAATTCAAAAGCAGGACTTTTTTTTTCTGCTGACTGGCTGTACCCCAATAGCAGAGACAAGGAAGACATTTACTGTTAGTTTCTTTAGTTGTGCCAAAATGAGTTCCACAAAATATATTCATGTGTATTACGGTATATTGGGTATTTGAATTGATAAATTAGACAGATCATTTTAGAGTCTCAAGTACTCTGAAATACATCAGAATGATAGAGTTGGAACTGCCTACTCCAGAGGTCTCCAACCCAATTATTCAACAGTTAATATCCTACAGGTTTGAGATTCATCCCTGCTCCCAGGGCCTGCCATAAATATTGGGCCCCATGGCAAAAAATAAAATTGGGTCTCCACTGCGCAGGTGCTGTCACTATTTTCTGAGTCAGTCTGACCCATTACAAGCGATTTGATACATCCACATGTTAGATGTATCAAACAATTTAAAAATAAAAACCTTGACAATTGCAATAAATAGCGATATTGGATATATTTCTAGATTTTTAAACTATTGAAATAAGGGTTTATCTGCTTTGTGATGGGTGTGTTTTTTCTTACTTGATTTGTATATTTAATTTACTTTTTACTAAGGGATATGGACTACTTCTTGTCTCGCAATAAAGAGTTATGAATTAATACGAAGTTGTTTTTTTCTCGATTACTTATCACTGGTCCACACTCCAGTACAGTCGGGGGCGGTATCGCACCGATTTCATTGTATATTAGCCGCCAAGAAAAGATCGAAGAAGAAGAAGAAGAAACACGCGTGGGCTAAGCTAGATAGCTGCTGCGTTGTTCCAGCTCGGCTAATATTTCAGCAACCATGTCTTCAGTTCAGCATCTCAGAGAGTTTATCAGAGAGCGACTAACTGCTGCTGCTCAAGAAATCTTCACAGAGGTTGAAAAAACCATCATTTGCTACGAAGAAGGTCTCGATGCTCAGCGCAGAATGATGGGGATCGACTGGAAACCACAAATTAAGCTTCACAGAGTCGGTTCGGAGCTGCAGAGACAAAGTTCTGGTAGGTCTTGATAAAGGTGCTGATGTTTTCACTGCAGACAGAGATCCGTCAGCGGCGATAGTTGCTGCAGCTCCAGCTGCTGCTAAACGGAGCTGAACAGGAACTGTTTTAGCTGCTAGCTCTGATGCTACAGAGGCTAGCACAACCGTGTTTATGAGTCATTCGTAAATATCTCCAGTTATTAGTGCTGGATATGTGGAATACAACGTGTAAGTTCTTCATTTATAAACTCATACGTGATTTTGCAAATCAGAGCAGTGGAGAGTATTCCACATTCCACGGGAACTGATTTAGCTGCTAGCTCTGATGCTACAGAGGCTAGCACAACCGTGTTTATGAGTCATTCGTAAATATCTCCAGTTATTAGTGCTGGATATGTGGAATACAACGTGTAAGTTCTTCATTTATAAACTCATACGTGATTTTGCAAATCAGAGCAGTGGAGAGTATTCCACATTCCACGGGAACTGATTTAGCTGCTAGCTCTTATGCTACAGAGGTTGATGGCTTTGTAGCTGCTAGCTCTGATGCTACAGAGGTTGATGGCTTTGTAGCTGCTAGCTCTGATGCTACAGAGGTTGATAGCTTTGTAGCTCAGGACAAAATATTGCAGCACAAACAGAAAATTTGTTTACTTGTCTCTGAAAACCAGATGGAATTCATTGAAGTCTCGTGACTAAATATATTATTCCAAGTATTATCAGTGCTGTAAGTTCTTTAAAAGCTCATACGTGATTTTGTAAAACCTAAAAAAAGAATTTGCATGCTGCTCACACACCTCCAGGTGTGAAGGTAATTAGAAGTACAGGAGACGAAGGATGAACTGTTGTTTTTTTTAATAGGGGCACAGAACAAACGTATATAAAAAAACGTGCAATATTTCATTGTTTCTTATAATAATTGAGCCACAGAGCCCTTTGCAAAGATTGCACAGTCCTAATCTAGGAGAGCAAAGCTGTACTTTTGTCTCAATCCAGCTGAAGTGAAAAATGCAAAACCCTCTAGACTGTTGAATAGAATATTAATAAGTTTTAATGTGTATTTTTTGTTAACTTGGAAATATGGCAATGTTCACAGAGCCAGTGTGTCGGTTGCAAAAGAGAGGAAAAAAAATCAGTTTTTAACAGTAAAGTATTGAATTAATTGTTTTTTACTCTGCTGAACTGTATGATTAAATCACATTTTGCTCTGTATCCAACAAGGTGGCATTACACATAGCTGCGTAAACCTTTCAGAATTTGGTGCGAACAGGTGATTATGAGCTGAAAGAGGGCTGGACGTTCAGCTTTGGAAGCAAATACTAACAAGCAAATGATTTCATACTGGAAGCCATCTGGAAAACTGGACTATGTGCCACGTCAGCTGAGGGTAAATGCAAAGAGAAGTGGCAGTCATCTGTGAACAAGTCTCTTCCAATAGCTTTAGAAACGTCTCCAGCAAGATGCCAGGTGTTTCTCACTGTTTCAGAAAGTTACTGAACTGGAGCATAAAGATATTAATGCTACGTAGGACACAGGACATGGAGAACTGCATGGACACCGTGGTGATTGGCCGGACTCAGTGACCCCTAAACAGCCAACTGAAACTATACCTGTAGAGGTTGAGAGACAATCCATGAGTTCCACCCCTGCTCCTGTGGTTCACAGTGTGCTCTGATCCTCCAGTCATTGGTTCACTGTCGGCCATTGACAACTTGGGTCCTGCGGGGAACTCCAGTCAAACACACTGGCTTCAGCATGGGGCAAGACTTGAGCAGAAGACCCAAAGCAGGAGTAAAAGCTCTGCTGCTCGAGTGCTAAACACGACCGGAAGAGAGGCTCACATCACATCTGTTTTAAAATCATTGCATTGGCTCCTAGTATGTCTCAGGATTGATTTTAAGATTATTTTACTGTTTTTTTAAAACGGCTTAATGGTCTTGGACCATCTTATCTTGCTGAGCTGCTATTACCTTATGAAGCCCTGCAGACCCTCTGACACCGGACTATTAACAGTTCTCAGAGTCAGAACACACAGTTAGGGTGAGGCTTCTTTCCTGTATTGTGGAACGGTCTGCCAGAGAACCTGAGGGCTCCAGAAAACGTTGCAGTCTTTAAGAGCAGGCTCAATCTTTTTAATTGTATTTCCTGAATTGAATCATTTCTGCTTAGTCTGTGCATTTTCAATGCAGTTGTGTGTTTTTTTCCATGTGAGGTTGGGTGGGTAATTGTTTGCTTTTTTTATTGATCTGTACAGCACTTTGAGCTGCTTTTAGTATGAAAGGTGCTTTATAAATAAAATTGATTGATTGGAATTATAACAAAACACATTTAAACAGTCAGATATCTCCAGCAATGACTTTGGAAAGTAAAAATACCTATAATGTTCATTTAAAGTCTATTTTTGGTTGTAGTTGTACTTTTTAGGAGCACAAATACCTAAACGGTGACCAGTCCCGCCATTTTGGATGGCAAAGTTAGAACACATAGGGGCAAATTGTCCCAATTCTCAAATTATGCACACTTGTAATCTACACACTCGAACCCTTATGTGCTCTTCGACTGAGTTCACACTGCATAGCGGGGTGTAAGGTGAAGCCTGAGTATTGGGACCGGGCCACGGAGACCTGGAGATGTTTTGACCTGCCGCACCATCTCCCTCAATGTGTGGTGTTGAGATAAACTCATCCAGCCTCATCTCTCACATTTCTAGTTACTAATTTAAATGCACAGTCGGAGCAATAATTAATAGGTTTACATTTCAGGCAAGTCTTTCCAGTATTTTCTTGGATCCACTTCCTTTTGGACATCAACACGTCTGCCTTATTAAAGAATAAGCTCTTCTCTTTCTTCTTTTGAACAGTATTTTAGTGAATCTAGTCTCTGTCTCATCACATTTATAATCCAGGCAACCAGAATGCCATGTTTTACTGATTAAAGTTTCTACACAGTCTGATCAACTTTAAAAAGTGAGGTTACAAGTAAAATTAAAAATATATTTTCTTATGGTAAGACGATTTCTTTACTTTATAAATGTCCTAGAATTAAACATTTAGTTGTAAAAAAAATTCATATGAAACTGCACTTGTCGATTAACATCTTTAGAACATGTTTGTCGCAACTGTAATTATTATGGAGGACACTTTACCTGCTTTTCAGTTAAACTCTACAAACTAATTTTAGATGAACCGTATAATGCCTACAGACCAGAATCTCCAGAAAAAACAAGGCTGATTATTGAGATATTCATCAATTAAATTATATTAATGATGTCATCCTTTGTTCCCACAGACCTCCAACAGCCAAGTGTCTCCAATGAGGAAGAAGATTCTGCCATCCAACAAGTCTGGAGCCTGGCAAGTAGGTCCAATCAGGACCAGAAAGAAGCAGAACATCAGTGGACTGAAGAGGAACAGATGGAACCAGAACCTAAATGGATTAAAAAAGAAGAGGAGGAACCAGAACCTACACTGTTCAAACATGAGGAAATAGAATATCCACTAACATATGTAAGAAAAGAGGAGCTAGATTCTTCAGTGCTTCAACATGAACAGCAGCCACCAGAACATTTACCAACTGGACAGGACCAGAAGGACCTCTGCAGCAGTCAGGAGGGAGAGCAGCTTGTCCAGAAGCAGTTTGTTGCTTTGATTGAGACTTCTACTCTTCAGGGAGATGATATGAGTGAAGAAGAGACAAGAACAGAGCAGCTTTCCCTTCATGTCTCTCCAGTGGTTGAGAGCAAAGATCAGGAAGGAAGCAGCTGCTCTGTGTCAGAGAGTCAGTCTGATACTGGCACAAAGAAAAGACCTTTCAAATGTGACATTTGTGGGAGATGTTATACACAACAGTATAACTTGAAAAACCATTACAGAACCCACTCTGGTGAGAGATCTTTTTCATGTGAAACATGTGGGAAAAGTTTTTCTAAAGTTAGTAATTTAAATCGTCACAAGACAGTTCATACGGGTGAGAGGCCTTTTTCATGTCAGTCATGTGGAAAGAGTTTCTCTCAAATGAGTATTTTAAATCGTCACAAGACGATTCATACAAGTGAGAAGCCTTTTCCTTGTCAAACATGTGGGAGAAGATTCAATCGTAGGGATAAGTTGAGCATGCACATGAAAACTCATACAGGTTGTGGGCAGCTTTGAAGCCAAACTTGTGAAAAAATTTGTTTTGAAATGTATTTCTTATTCTCTTTAGAACCCACATGGGTGAGATGTGTTTTCCACATAAAATATGGTGGGGAAAGTGTTTTTTTTTATTATAGTGAACTGAATTTTCACACAACACAAATACACAAAAGTAACAATTGGACATTTAACTTGCACAGATTCACTGTAGTAAATCTGTGCGAGGACAGCAAACTAATATTCTATGGAGAATAAAACATCAGCTTGTGAAATTGGAATGTCATTGCATTTTACTGATATTCTTTAAAAAAAAAATATCCTGAGTCTTATGGATTTAGGATAAGATCTAAAAATAGTGCCTTCTGCTTTTAACATGTCAGGTTTTGGTCAAGATAAAGTCACAGTTAGACCTTCAAATAAGTGGGATAAAGTTTTGTCTTACATGAGCCGCCATCTTACATGGGTTATTGAACTGATTGCAGCTTTCTCACAGATCGTAGATTATAATTTTTCGATTTCGATTTTTCCCAGTGCCACTTTTTTGATTGAAATGTGGCTAAATATAGGAAGAAAGTCTCTGAGTTGGTAGTTATCATTAGTTATCATCATTGATAACTACAGCTTGCAGACATTTCCTGGTGGGCCAGTCTATCAGTCAAACCTCTGCTGCAGAGCAGAAGAGGACTGTGGCTGATTTTTGACCTTTGCTGAGGTAGAAAAGATCAGAGGATGAGATCAGCTTCTCCCAAAACTGAGGAAATTGGCTCGATTTTGTGTTGGGAGTAAAAATATTGTAGAGGTAATAAAAAAAGGTAGTAAATTCAACTCTGGGATTCCTGTATAAACCATGATATTAAACCATTTCTGAGATTGTTTTCAGTTTGCAAAGCACATTAGACCCTCACCTATTTTAGGATGCCCATAACAGTTTTTATTATTATTATTATTATAATGTGTGTACATATATCATTTAAAATGTATGTGCTGCTTGGATGTATCAAACAACGTAAGAGCTCTGACAACTGCAAAATACAGTAATATTAGAGATACTTTTAGCTTTTTTATATATTGGAACAACTTTGTATGTGATTTGTGGCAGTTGTGTAATTTTTACCTACTTGATGATTTATATATTTTATTTATCTTTTTTATAAATGGTATGGACTACTTTTTGTCTGGAAATTAATATGGAGACATGAATTAAATTAATATGGAGTTCTTTTTTCCCCGTTTAGCGCCTGTCCACACACTCCAGTTCATTCAGGGGCATTTTTGAACCAATTTGTGGTCCATTGTGTTTTTGTATTAAAAAAATGTTACATTGACAGGAAATATTAAAATATTACTGGGTAATTATGTTCCTGGAAGACATTGCCAACAGTACTTAAACCCACAACTACAGAGTCTTGAANTTTTAAATCGTCACAAGACAGTTCATTCGGGTGAGAGGCCTTTTTCATGTCAGTCATGCGGAAAGAGTTTCTGTCAAAAGAGTATTTTAAATCGTCACAAGACTATTCATACAGGTGAGAAGCCTTTTTCATGCGAGTCATGCGGAAAGAGTTTCTGTCAAATTAGTATTTTAAATCGTCACAAGACGATTCATACAAGTGAGAAGCCTTTTTCTTGCCAAACATGTGGGAGAAGATTCAATCGTAGGGATAATTTGAGCATGCACATGAAAACTCATACAGGTCGGGGGCAGATTTGAAGCCAGACTTGTGAAAAAAAGAGCTTTGAAATTTATTACTTATTCTCTTTAGAACCCACATGGGTGAGATGTGTTTTCCACATGAAATATGGTGGGGAAAGTGTTTTATTATAGTAAACTGAATTTCCACAAAACACAAATACACAAAAGTGACAATTGGACATTGAACTCACACAGATTCACTGTAGTAAATATTTAACATTTTCTTACACCCTCGTCTATTCTTGGATACTTATTAATGGATTTTTTTATTACTATTATTGTAGATCATATCTATAAAAAAGAAAATAATTTAAAATGTATGTGCTGCTTGGATGTACCAAACAACTTAAGAGCTCTGAAAACTGCAACACAATGATTTTAGAGATGCTTTTAGCTTTTTTATATAATGGAATGGATTTGTGGCAGATGTGTGATTTTTAGTTAATAATTAGTTAGTTAATAATAATTAGTGTATTTTATTTAGTTTTTTTTAAATAAATGGTATGGACTACTTTTTGTCTGGAAATAAAGACATGAATTAATATGGAGTTCTTTTTTCCCCTTTTAGCGCCTGTCCACACACTCCAGTTCATTCAGGGGCATTATTGAACCAATTTGTGGTCAGTTGTGTTTTTGTATTAAAAAAACATTACATTGACAGGAAATATTAAAATATTACTGGGTAATTATGTTCCTGGAAGACATTGCCAACAGTACTTAAACCCACAACTACAGAGTCTTGAAGTGAAAAAGAAACCTATTAATGCTCTTAATAGAGATTGGAGAGACTCCAATGGAAATTAGATTAATGAAATTATCTGTTAGCACATTGGAAGAAAATGTAACTTAATTTTACAAAAGTGTTGGGAATATTCAAAATTCCAGAGTGATGGATTCAGATTGACTTAAATGGGCTAAAATGTATGGATTAGAGAACAAGGAAATTGTGCAGTTTAATCTGATTAGTATTGTTACTCCATGGCTATTTCCTGTAGGTAAATATAGACATGAAACTTCATAAAATGAAAAATGATTGGAATTTAAATGAAGTAGGGGTAAAGACAGACATGTATTTAAGAAATTCACATTCTGATTATTGCCTTAAAATATATTCAGATGGTTCTAAGAATATAAAATGATGTGGGAAAAGAAATATATATACCAGATCTGAAAATATATATTTCCAAACGATTATCAGACTAATTATCTGTTTTTACAGTGGAAATGGTGTCAGTCATACTAAACTTTAAGTAGGTTGAGGAGGTTCGACCAGATAGGGTGGTGGTATGCATGGATACCAAAGCAGTAATAGAAAGTAATCCAGAAAAACAAAATAATAGAAAACATTTAGTATTAGAATTTCAGCACAGTTTATTTAGGGGTGGCACTGATTCTTGGTTCTGTTGGGTACCAGCACACAAAGGTGTAAAAGGCAATGAAAAGGCAGACAATTTAGCAAAGAGGGCTTTTTAGGGTAATAACGGTTACAATTCCTTTTGGAAAAGAGGAAGGGAAATCAGTTAGTAAAATAAGAATATGGCAAAAAAATAGAATGAAGATAAAAATGAAAGGTGTTTATATAAAATACAAAAGTCAGTACTGATTAAAAATATTAAGAGAAACAGAAGGGAATAAATAATAATGAGTTGAAGAATAGGTCATACCTGTCTAAATGACATTTTATGTTTAATAGAGAGAGAAAATAATGATAAAAGTGAAGGATGTAGTGAAAGAAAATATAGAACATGCATTGATGAATTGTAAAACACATGAACCTGATAGGGAGAGATTGAGAAGAATGCTTAGGAGGACAGGAATGGAGTCTTAAAGGAATATTGGGAAATGAAGGAAACATAGTGAATATTTACAGTTTCAGGAAAGCATTATTTATCTTCAGAATACAAAATGTAAAAAGCAGAATTTAATGGATGTAATACTATTCATGTACAGTAGGTGGCGGCATAGCTTAAAGTTGCTTGCGATCCGCCATAATAGAAAGGAAGAAGAAGAAGCTTGCGTATGCTAAGCTAGGTAGCTGCTGCATTGTCCCATCTCAGCTAATATTTCATCAACCATGTCTTCAGTTCAGCATCTCAGAGAGTTTATCAGAGAGCGACTAACTGCTGCTGCTCAAGAAATCTTCACAGAGGTTGAAAAAACCATCATTTGCTACGAGGAAGAGCTCGATGCTCAGCGCAGGATGATGGGGATCGACTGGAAACCAGAAATTAAGCTACACAGAGTCGGTTCGGAGCTACAAAGTTCTGGTAGGTCTGGATAAAGGTGCTGATGTTTTCACTGCAGACAGAGATCCGTCAGCGGCGATAGTTGCTGCAGCTCCAGCTGCTGCTGAACAGGAACTGATTTAGCTGCTAGCTCTGATGCTACAGAGGCTAGCATAACCGTGTTTATGAGTCATTCGTAAATATCTCCAGTTATTAGTGCTGGATATGTGGAATACAACGTGTAAGTTCTTCATTTATAAACTCATACGTGATTTTGCAAATCAGAGCAGTGGAGAGTATTCCACATTCCACGGGAACTGATTTAGCTGCTAGCTCTTATGCTACAGAGGTTGATGGCTTTGTAGCTGCTAGCTCTGATGCTACAGAGGTTGATAGCTTTGTAGCTCAGGACAAAATATTGCAGCACAAACAGAAAATTTGTTTACTTGTCGCTGAAAACCAGATGGAATTCATTGAAGTCTCGTGACTAAATATATTATTCCAAGTATTATCAGTGCTGTAAGTTCTTTAAAAGCTCATACGTGATTTTGTAAAACCTAAAAAAAGAATTTGCATGCTGCTCACACACCTCCAGGTGTGAAGGTAATTAGAAGTACAGGAGACGAAGGATGAACTGTTGTTTTTTTTAATAGGGGCACAGAACAAACGTATATACAAAAAACGTGCAATATTTCATTGTTTCTTATAATAATTGAGCCACAGAGCCCTTTGCAAAGATTGCACAGTCCTAATCTAGGAGAGCAAAGCTGTACTCTTGTCTCAATCCAGCTGAAGTGAAAAATGCAAAACCCTCTAGACTGTTGAATAGAATATTAATAAGTTTTAATGTGTATTTTTTGTTAACTTGGAAATATGGCAATGTTCACAGAGCCAGTGTGTCGGTTGCAAAAGAGAGGAAAAAAAATCAGTTTTTAACAGTAAAGTATTGAATTAATTGTTTTTTACTCTGCTGAACTGTATGATTAAATCACATTTTGCTCTGTATCCAACAAGG